TCAATTACTCACTACCTTCACACATTGTTCCGTCACGTTGTGAGCGTCTTATATATATACCAGACTAACATATCTAGTAAATGCTAGGGCATTCACGAAGGAACAGGATAGTTCTAGAAACGTGGCGTGATACTAGTCACGTGACCTCGCTGACGCAGCAATATTTATGTGCACACAATGTTGTAACACGTCTTAGTTTCGCAGTACTACAAGTATTAGTGCTAATAACAAAATTTCAGATATAATCACTTCCAGTTTTCTAAGTATAAAGCCTTATATCGAGGGTTCTTAATGATTTTGTTACAGGACTTATTTCTGAACTCGCCATGTTCCCTCGCACATAGTCTAATAGATAAATATGTGATACATAAGTGTCATTTTCTAATATCTGGTAAGGTAGTGTTTAAATAATGTTACAACTGAAGCCTACGATGTCAATATCTAACGGCCCACATTTAAGGAATGGAATAAATTAATAGTTGGCTTGCATTTTAGTTTTGGTGCATGTAAACCTATTACTTTAAAACTGTTATTATTATTATTTGTGTATGAGATAGTGAACGTGCTTATATATCCTGATTCCTTATTGGCTGTGCTGTAGAAGTGTGTGTGATGTTCGACTGATTATGACAGCAGTATATGATCTAGTTTTTTGTTCCTACGTCTGTTTAAAATTATAAGCCAACCATAAAGTTTGAAGACGGCTTGAATGAGTAATGAAGAAAACTTTATTACAAGTTTATCATACTAACATTATCCGGCTTCAAACTTTATTGTCTCAAAGTGGGTTCTTCGTTATCAAACTTTAAGCCGATCAGTCGCGCGTGGTCTTTTACATCAGTTCCATTGATGTATCTATAATGAACCTTTGTTTGTTTGTGATTAAGCACAAAACTACAAAATGGGCTATCTGTGCTCTGCCTACCATGGGTATCGAAACTTGAATTATAGCGTTGTAAGTCCACAGACACATCGCTGTGCCACTGGGAGGCAATATGATGAACGATTCTGTGATTTTCGTTTTCACCAGTCTTATTAATCAGGGCTGAGCGTGGGCTAGTGGTTAGTATTTCGGGCTGTGGAATGAATGCTACACGGTTCCATATTTAATGCCATTGAATACGATTCAGAGAGCCAGACAAATTATTTGTGACGACGAGTGCTGATAACTGGCTAATAGGTTACGTAAAGAAAATATTTTCATATTTGGAGAATAGACCAGATGACCAAGTTCGTCTGTATAAACCAATAAAAACTAATGATTGAACTGTAAAAGACGTCGGACAGTTATTTGAATGCTGTCACCCGGTGGGACAACGGTACGTTTACAGACTTACAACGCTAAAATCTGGGGCCCGATTATTCCCGCGGTAGACACAGCAATGTGGCTTTGTTCTAAAACAAACAATCTAAATGCCAAAAAGTACCAGTAACAGACGCCCATACGTTGCTCAAAAGTTGTTCACACCAACATCCAATCAACACTGAAATTTATCTTTTTCATCACAAAAAATATCAGAAGACATAAATCATAGCTCCAATAAAACAATACAAGAACATTGCCCCTTTCCATTTACCAATGCAAATGTTGAAGTATAATACTTATGAAACCTAAGAAGATAATATTACTTTAATTACTTGATATGTGTTATCTCTGTCAAGCAATATGACACATAATTTGATGAAGTTTAATAACAAATGTGGTTCAGTAAGTCAGCTGGTAAAATCAGAAACTTGCAAAGTTATGTCTCAAGCCTTTTTTATCAGTAAGTTTTGTTTGGATTTTACTTTCTAAACATACGATACAGAGTTGCAGAAAGCTTGTTTCAAGTGCTTGTATTTCTATATTTTCACTGTTTAATGGACGCTGTCTAGGGAACCCGTTGGGGGATTTAGCCGCCACCAAAACACTTGAATTACTGAGGTTGACCCCTCCCCCTCCATATATATAGCTGGGAACACCCCCGAATTATCATACTTCTTGTGATATAAATCAATTTATAAAAATAAACATGTAACAAAGGAATAATAAAAAAATATTTTTAATGTTTCTTACTCTTAACAAAATATACAAAGGAATAATAATGGCTGGAGACGGCTTGAATGGGTAATGAAGAAAAACTTTAATATAAGTTTTCTTCATTACCCATTAAAGCCGTCTCCAGCCATTATTAGTCTCAAAATGGGTTCCTCGTCACCGAATTTAAATACAAAGGAATAGCACAAAATATTTAGAGGAAAAAACGAAGATAATTTGTATTTATGACAAAGCTACTGAGGTTATCTGCCGCCGACCCTAATTTTTAACTACTGACCAAGGGGAAGGTAACAAGTCAGCAGCAATCTGCCTCCTACAATCCAAGCTAAGGTTTGACTGTCACTCTTATAGACTCTACTGGTCTACCATAGGGCAAACCTGCACCCAAAATGAATACGGACATTTTTATATAAATATCATTTTCAAATCGTTTGCTCATCTATCGACCTTAGTTAATTGTCATGTTTGAAAATGTAGGTTATACGTTAGCTGTAGCTTCTGGTTATAATCAAATGTTACATTCTGATCTAATTTGTGCAGCCTTGCCCAATGAAATGGGCCATTTATAATAATGCAAAAATAAAATAAGACAATTTAAATAGAAACAAATTGTAAGCATTAAAGTTACAAGATAAATTTACTTGAACTTGTCACAATCCAAAGTATCAAGTATCTGGCAAAAAAAAAAGAGAGAAAATTTTAAATAATTCAGGAAGTGACTACCTTAGATCTATTTATGGCTAAAAGTTAAAGCATGGTTAAATGGTAACCCTATGAGGTTTGAAGCCTATAGTACGTCATCGTTCCGCCACGTGGCGCAGCTTGCAAGTCTGTTTACGATGAACGAGAGCTACTTCTGCGAGCTGTGTTTCCTAGCGATGCGTCTGATGCAATTATAGTCGGTTGATGCAATCTGTTTCTCTTGTTCGTAGGGTTATCGGCTTGTGATGGTTTTTGTTATATTGTAATGGATAAGAGACCTATACCAGATGCCTATTTTACAGTGAAACAAACGTATTCACTTGCATAAAAAGACGGGTTACCTTTACTTAGTTTTTAATCTTAAACGCTAACTTTTTACTAAAATAAATATATTAAAAATTCCGGAAAAACCATATAATTATCGAGAATGTCGCGCCACGTGGAAGCACAAGGCTTGGGCGTAAACGATAAGGCCAATGGAAGTAGAAAAGGGAAAGTAAAACTCAAAAGTGAAATAACTTTGGTGAATGGCGTAGCAATTATTGTTGGATGTATTATTGGAGCGGGCATATTTGTTTCACCGCGAGGTGTTTTTGCTTACTGCGGTGAATCAGTAGGCCTATCGCTTGTCGTCTGGACACTATGCGGTATATTTTCTATGTTGGGCGCCATGTGTTACGCTGAATTAGGAACATCTATTGTAAGATCTGGTGGAGATTACGCCTACATCCTAGAGGCATTCGGGCCTTTACCAGCGTTTCTTAGACTATGGGTAGCTCTTCTTATAATTCGACCGACAGCTCAAGCTATCTTGGCACTCACCTTCTCTCACTATATCATTGAACCCCTCTATCCACAATGTGAACCGCCTAATGCAGCTGTGCGGATCCTGGCGGCTCTTTCCCTCGGTAAGGAATAATATTCATTTTCAAATAGTTTTATCATATTTATGACAATAATAAGATTGAAACTATAAGAAAAATGAAAATACATTTCCTGTTATAATGTTTTTAATCTGGATTATACAGCCATGTGCTAAATCTTCTGAAAAAGATATAATTTAAACCCTACCAGTAACGATAAAAGTTCATATAAAATTATGGAAACTTGGGCCTACTATAGCATATTAATATTTAAGTTAGTTACAAATATTTTATTTGAAAAAAACTGCATATGTTTTCTCACATTTTCACAGCTTTCAAGTTCAAGCAGAAGAGAAAAGTTGCGTCTCTAGGTTTTGGTAACACTACCAGAGACAACCAGTAATAAAATAGTAATTACAAACATCTTCCACTCAATCTGAAGCTTATATCTATATCTATATATTTGTGTAAACCATTATTTGACAAAAGTATGTAGGTGTGCCCGCTTATAAATGGCGAATGTAGGACCGATTGTCACCGAACATGACCACGCATGTATCCAGGGGGTTCAAACGAACCCCCAATTTTTGTGATGTAAACAAATTATGCTTATATAGTTACAGCGCAGCTGCTTATAATATTTAACGTTTTCTATAAAGTCTACATTCTTCTGATTAGCAATTTTTTGAATTGAAATAATCGCATGCCCCCAGACCCCCGTAGCATTAGCATGTAAAGCATGCTAATTGTGCTTCTCACAAAATATGTTAGCTTTTTATATCACAATTTGGAACCCCTATTTAAAACATTCAGCATACGGGCCTAATGACATGTATTCTTAGTCGCCCAGGGAGCAATATAGGAGCCGGGGTTATGATATAACCCTTTATGTCACTCGCAGGGCCCAATGTTTTCCCCGAGTGTCTAATTTTCATCAAAAATTGCCATGCACCCTTAGGATTCCTTGATAAGTGACTGGGAGGAGGGTTCATATTTGGTCCTCCTATGTCACTTCCTGATTACTCATTTGTATTCCTCTTTTTAGACTTTTTTTTCCTATTTCAACTAAATTGGCATGCACCCATAAGACCTTCTGGGAAGTGACATAGGGAGGTTCGGATTCGGATCTAGTCCCCTGTGTCACTTCCTGGCGTGCTTTAAACGGGTACGTTAGCTAGTTATGTAATAATGGTTTTAGAAAAGACATGTAATAAACTACATACAAACACATTAAAAATAAAAACTGGGAGAAATTTCGTGTTACTTAAATAATGATACACAATTTAAGTATGAAAGTATTTGGTTTGATTGTACAGTGAAAACTGCGTATTGCTTCTCTAGCCTCATGTTACATGAAGAACTGAAACTAATTAAGCCTTCATATTATGGCCATTATTGAGTTGAAGAATGTTCCATCTTGCTTCGTGGTCTTTGGAAGTTTAATAAAGTACATTACGATACACTTTCGAATGTATTAAAATTATAATGTTTTCCAATTATGTTTTTTAGAGCATTTTATTTTAGAAAAGCTGGAAATTTAATGTTCCACAGAAGCATTTTAACTTACATTGCTTTGAGTAAAATAATATTATCATGTATGTCAGAATTTTAAAATATATATTCTTCTTTTTGGCCTATTGTCAAAATAAAGAGCTTTTACTTATAGTTCTTAATAGTATAGATATATACTATGTTGTTGTTGGGCTTAGGATTCTTCTAGTTCTGCAGTAGGTGTCCGTGACTTGTTAGCGATAGATTCAACAGCACGCACTTCACTTGTTTTCAAAATCATATATGTATGTACATTCAGAACAAGTTAAACATATGTACAACAAATTCTTCATACTATAGAGAATATAGACATATCATAAATACTATATATGTAGTTCTCTTCTTCCTGTCAAAAGACCACTTAAGCCTATTCAATTACTTTAGAATTACTATCGCACTAGTATTATGTATGTGATTCACTTATAATTGTGGTGCGAGTTACCGTAATCGTTTGGTCTTCTTTCTTCCAAATATCCTCTTTTCTTTTTTGTCAAAGTGCACTCAGGCTGATTCAATTACTTTAGAACCACTTTAACGTAAAAACTTATTCTTCTTATCTCCATTTCTACTGTTAGTCTTACTCTAACATATTAAACGTTAGGCTTATGTCACTCGTTAGGTCTATCACTTCTACGGTAGTTAACTTCACGCCAAACTTTTCCTTGGTCTATAACTTTATTCTTTTTTGCTATTATCTGTCTGCTGTTTTTGCTCTCTCCCACTATTTATATCTTTATTACTTAATCGTCTGCCCGACTTCTATATCCTCGACGTCAATGTATCACACGTGACGTTCGATAGTCTCAACATCAATGAATTATTAACAAAATTTCCTACAATCGTCTGCTTTTAACTCTTATTATAACAAAACTAACAATAATAAAATATTCACTCACAAAAATGAATTAATCAATAATATCTAAACAGTTTTTTATATCATGACAATCATTATTCTAATACTAACTATAGTGAAATTGTTAATGTACAGTTAAATTAAAAAAATTAAAAAATATGAAGTAAAATTAATAACACTAAATCTTTTGTGCATTGATTGCAGAATTTTTCAGAAATTTGGAAATTAATTATCTTAACATCTGCAACTGGTAACCTTTTTAATTAATTTTAATGGCTTTATTGCTATAATTTGGGCCACAGGAGTAGTAATCTTCCTCTGATAAAAGCAGGAAATTCTAGCAGGAGACCATTAGCTGTTTCCCTTAGAGCTAATTTAAATAGTTCATGTGTGGGAGGCTTTATGTTACTAGGTCATGGGGGGTGGTCCTGAAATTTTAAATATTTTATTTTACTGAAGTTTTGTTAAGCTAAGTCAAGAAATTACTTTTGTTAAAAATATATAACAATAAATAAAGCACATTCATAAAAGCAAGGATTTTAGTATTTACTGCTTTCTACAACTCATTTGTACATTGATAATAAAGTTGTTTAATTAGATTTTGAATGCATTACTGGAAAAGGTTATGATTCAGCTATAATGAAAGAGATGAATAACACCCTTTGAACTTAGAGTTGCTTATATATCCTTGTTTTTGCTCTGACAGATTTTTTTATAATTTGGAGGAAGGGTCTTTTTTAGGCCTAGGGTTTTTGTTTAGTAATCAAGACTATAAGGTTAAAGTAGATTATATCTTGTGTTAAATATTGTGTAGTTTTCAAGTTGACAGCTCTTAAAATAATCTATTTTTAAAAATTTGAAATCATCTTCTGGTTTGTTAAAAATAACTGTATTTTTATAGATGGATAGTGTAGGTGTGTTTCCTCTTGTGCTCTGTTAACTTCTTTCTTTCTTTCTTTTTTATCTCATTTTGGTATCCAATACTTGAATTCTTCTTTGGTGAAACAAAAGCTAGTATCATTATTTAGAAACTACCCCCTTGCAAGAAATTAAAATTGGATTTGTAACTCTCTTTTTCTTCATCCATTCCTCAGTACAAGATGACAAAAAAAAAACAATGTAACATCGTTATTAGTTCTAGCATGAATCTTGAACTGTATCATACACTGCATAAACATGGGAGTATGTTCTTGATTAGATGTTTCAGTAACTTGATGTTCTGAACATAGTTTACAAACAAAGTTTACTTTTAGGAGATTCCCTATATTCAATACTGAGTGTTCCTGAGTAATAGTTTTGAATTATATTTGGGTATTTTTAATTTGAAAAGATCTCAAAATAGTAACTTAAGAAAATTCCAAGTCGTTATTTGTAAAAAAGTTCTTTCATGCAATCCTTAGTTCAAATGATAATATTAGGGTAGTAATTAATATGTACTCCCAAATAACCAACATGTTTACAAACTGTTCACTATTGGTGAGTCACATATTGTGTCATAGTTTTTGCCTGATACTAAATTCAGTATAAAAAACCTGAATTGAAAAAGTGAATGAAATCACTTGGTCTCTTTGTAAAATGTATATGAAACCCTAGCATTAATCAGTGGGATTAATAATAATACTGATGGTATTTTTGTTACTTGTATGTTATATTAGGATCTCTGTTATGAACATTGTTGTAGATCCACAAGAATTTTATGCATAATTAGTTTAGAAAAATGCATTTGAAAAAGCTAATGGGGTCCTGGATCCCACTGTTAATTGTAAGGGTAAAAGTTATTTTGGCTGAATTCAAAACTATTAGTTTCACGAAAAGCACTTTGTAATTTTTTTTCTTTGAGAGATAATTTAGTAATTGTGTAAAGATATTCTTTGGATAGATGTTTTACCAGATAATGTGTGTAATTATTTAAATGATTTATTAACAATATTTGAATATTTTGTAATCCTTATGTTAATAATATTTCTTGTACAATAAATATTTCAGGTTCTCCCAATTCTTTAGTTTCAAGTATTCCTCAGAAAAAACTTGTATGTGATGAAGAAGACTTTAATGTAAGAACTGCACTTTGTTGTAACTTTTAACACAATTCTTTAAAAAATGAGTTAATTGGTGAAATAGGTAGATAGTAACTTTATAGTAACTCGTAGATAGATGAATGAAAAATGCATAAAATATAGATTTGGCTCATTATATCCAGTTTTACTGTTTTGTATATGTGTATGTTTGAAACATGTTTACATTTCTTTGGATGATAATGAGCGTATTTAAAATAGTTACTAAATATTTAGCAGCTGCATTGCTTAAGTAACGTGTACTGAATGCCTTGTGTAAAAGAATGCGAGAAAAGTGTTATTTCAAACAATGTATAATTGTAACGGCTGCACTGTCTCTCCTTTAATTTTTTTTGTCATAGTAGAAGGTCCATATTTATTTTTTAACAGAAGTATTACTGTTACTTTGGCCTATTTGCTGTTTACTTATGAATATCTTTTTTTACTATTTTTATTCATTCATTTGGTTGGTGCCTTTATCCGAGGCATATGTTTAATTAATCACCAATGCTGTTAAAATAAAATTGACTAACAATAACACTTTCTCTCATAACTTTTTGCTGTTTTGAAAGTCTGTTATTGTTACTCTATGTTTTGTTGTTTATTCACTATTATGTTTATTAGGTATGTTTAATTAATCAACAATTTTATGTTAAAAAGACCGACTGTTAACCTGTTTGGAATGGTGACTCTTACATGAAGATTTGTTTTGCTTAAGTCAGCTTTTTTTTTAATTAGATGAAATAGGATGTTCTTGCAATGCAAGCTTACTGTATGTAGCTATATGAGTATCACGCATAGCATCAAATACATTTGCATTATACAATGTGCATTTTGAAATATTAAAACATGATTACTTTTCTGTGTATTTTATGTATTTTTGAACTACACGTGAATGTTTTATTTCAGTTGTATGTACTACATGTGAAGTAAAAGGGTTTTCAGTCTAATATAAACTAGTGGTTATTGTGATATCATCAGTGCATTATGCAAATTAATACTATCAAAGATTCAAAGTTTCATTCATTTATGTGTTCCAAATATTCCAAGGTCAAAATCTGCCTTTTATTACAGACCTAATAATAAAGAATATGGAAAAGTTCTGATGTTGTTGTCCTTTAATACTAATATGTGTGTATGTAACTATAAAACTGATAATAATTTAGATCACATCCTTTTTTTTTTTGCCCCATGTTGGTTTCTAGTGAGAAAATACTATAATATGTTAACCATAACTTGTCTACTGCTGATGACAACAGCATTTGCTTAATACTAAACTCATATGTGTGCAATGTTATATTAATAGACGAATGATAATAATATAAATCATATCATTCTTTTACCGTCCATACATGTGTAAGTTGTAGTCATTCTGAATTGGCTTTGATTATATCCTAGTTCGAGTTGTAGGTTGGACATATGATATGGGTTTTATATGTTACAAAAAAAAATATTATGTAATGTATGTGTGTGATATTTTCAGGTGAATTATTTCTTTACGAGTATCAGATCCACTAATAGCAACAAATGTGCCCAGGATATATGTGGAGTACTGTATTTAATAATTTTTTTAGTGTATATAAAATAAGGAGATTGGGCAAGTGTATAAAATTAACAAAATCTTTATTCCTGTAATAAAACAGAAATAAGACATGATGTAGTACTTGTGCAGGCTGTATTGCAGTTGATGAAGAATGCATGAATTAAGAATTATTGATGAAAGAATATTATTTAAATTGCTCTGTGTATCAAATATGATCTTCTGTATATTACAAGTAATGAAATTATATAGACTGTAACTGTTTCAGTCATAACTTATTTTACCACTTGGCTTCCCCAGAAAATATAATCATGTTTTGTCAATAATTTAAGTAAATCTCTCGATGCAAAAGAGAATAACAACCTTTTCTATACTGTAATTCAGGACTTTCGACCTCGTTTTGGTTCAGGGTTCTCAGACCGTGACACAAACCTGGACAACATTTCTATATCATCAAGAGCTTCAACAACAAGGAAGAACCAACAGTGTATAGCACTACAAGTCCATGGAATTGGAGAAGTTGGTGTGTATATGTGATAAAATATTGGAGATTAATATTACTTTTTGATTGGCCCAACATGGCCAGGTGGTTAGGATACTCAACTCACAGTCTGAGGGTCTCGGGTTCAAATCCCAGTCTCACCAAACATGCTTGCCCTTTCAGCTGTGAGAGCATTATAATGTGATGGTCAATCCCACTATTCATTGGTAAAAGAGTAGCCCAAGAGTTGGCGGTGGGTGGTGATGATGACTAGCTGCCTTCTGTCTAGTCTTACACTGCTAAATTAGGAACAGCTAGCGTGGATAGTCCTCGTGTAGCTTTGCACGAAATTCACAATAAACTAAATAAACTAAACTTTTTAATAATGAAGAAGATAATACAGTATCAAATTAGCTGGCAACAGTTGAACAGAGTTTCCGAAATTAAATATTTAAATTAAATATTAACTGAAAACGAATTTTAATGTCATAAAATAATATATTAATTAAAACAAAAAAGGAAAAAGTAATATTTTAAATTAAAAAAAGAAAAATAATCTACACATTAGATATATTAAATTAAAAATTTTTTAAAGGGAAAACCTATTTTAACCTCACCATCAAATTTTACCCAGTTAAAATGTAAAAAATTGGTCATTTTTTGTATTTTTCCTTTTAGTCCCCTTTATTTTACTTGGTAACAGTGTATACTTTTTACTACTTGTTGAGTTTATTTTTGTTCTAGTCGTGGGAGG